CGCTGCAACCCGCAACGGCAACACCGACCTTCGCAACATGCGTTAAAACGCTGCAAAAAGTCTACCGCAGCGTTTTTTGGCCGCTCTAAAAAGTCTTTTTTGGTGTAGTGAGAGCACTTATTCTCATTTAGCTAAAATACAATTGAAGGAAAGTGAACCAAAATCCTATTTCTTTTTGGGGAATTGTTGGGAAAATAGATAGACGTGGTATTCTTTACTGCAATAAACAAAATGACAATACAAACTTACCTAGAAATTGATACGGACTTGAAAAGAACAAGAAACAAAATATGGAATGAAGATTGGATTGAGACAATAGTTGAACTCTTTGTCCTCAAAACAAATTTGTCACGCATAGGTGCCAATGGTGGATAGGCAATCGCCTCTCAAAATACAATAATATCTTGCTGTAATAGTAGTACTTCAAATCACAATAAACAGTAAACCAAACTATATGATTTTGTACTCATTTTGAATGGAAGAAAGGACAATATGATTCAGAATTTTTGCTTGGATTTATGTGTTTATGTATGAAATGAATACTTGGAAATGAAGTGAATGAAACCAACATGGGGAGCGGGGAGAGGCAATTTATAGAGGTTGAATGGTTGTAGTCGGAAAGACACAACTCAAAAATCAACTTGTTCATGAATAATCATATATGTTCAAAAACTACTCGCTGACCGCTCAAGTGGTTTTTCGATAGTTAATCACTCGCTTTGCGTGAGATGACTGTTCAATCGGTCGATTTATTCTAAAATTTTCCATTTTAGTTAACTTCAAAATTCTATTTTATCAACCTTCATTCATCAATTTTCATTCATCCGAAAATATTTTTCGACATCCAAATATACAGAACTTATCTACTCAACGAGTAGAACACGTTCGACCAATTTTTCGCTAAAATCAAATAGCGGGACACATACAAATATTTGGTTAAAGATTGATTAAAATCATTCTTTTTCTTAACTATTTCCAACAAAAACTTGACCTATAGTCTAAAGAAGGAAAATTGAAAAAAATAGTAAAGAATGGAAATTTATATTTATTTTAAAAAAAAATCCTAGCCAATTTCATCCAAGAATTTTGAAAAAGCCATTTCAATCTTTTTCTTCCAAATCCAGAAAAAATCCATCAAAAATAACAAACTCTATTATTCAGAAGGCACTATATATGCAGTGGAGATTAAGATGAGTTTTGATGAATAAAAGAAAAATTGATAGACAAAATCTTCACTAGATTCAATCCCCCAGAAGTGAAACCTGTAATGGTGAAAAAAATGTCTAAGTATAAAGTCATAATGTTGCAAAATGTCATATCCCTAAAACTTATAAAGAAGTTAAATATGCAATTAAGAATGGTAGGGATACCTGAACAATTTTCATTGAATCCTTTAACAGTAAGGAAACAAAAATAAAGCTAAAAGACAATAAAATAAGGATTATACTAGATGTACACCCGGTGGTTTACACACGGGGTTACACCCCCCTCACATGGAGGGGGCCCACGAATATTTTATTGTGTGTGGGCCCCCCTCCATGTGAGGGGGTGTAATCCAATGTGTAAATGATTGTGTACATCTAGCATAAGCCATAAAATAATGTGTTTAAGTCACGTGGAAAAGGGTAGCTCACAATAGAGACAATTTTGAAATCAAGATTATCGAAACAATGGTGAATCACGGAGTAATGGTAAAAAAAAAAATGATAAAGGTAGGTTTAGATTAAAATCAAAAGAAAATGGTAAAAAAATGTTATGATTGTGGTAAAACTCTACATTTTTATTTATCCACTTGAAATTTTTAAATAAAAGGATAGAGGGATAGATAAGCACATGTGTCATCCTCTTCTATTTGAGATACAAATTAAGCATATATATCAAGAAAATAGTCTACTTAATTAAATCCGACTCTTAACAAGCCTCATATGTATGAGTGTTGATAAGTGTAGTTTATACACTTATTCGAGATCCTAAATCGTAATATTTTATTGTCTTTTCGATAAAATTCTACCTAATTTATATTATATTGTATTTTGTAGGTAAAACTTTATGTTTAATGAAGAATTGGAGAAAAGAATGCAAAAGTGGCGAAAAACGACAAAATCCACAGATTAATTCCTTGGAGAGAAATAATATATTAAATGGGTTAGAGTTAAATTGTCCTCAATAGACTTGCATTGGAAATTTTGATTGAGAAGGAGGCAAACGGATTCACACATAGGGAGGCGCAGAACACGGACATATAGGAGAAAAGAAAAAAAGAAAGAAGAGAAGAAGAGAGAAAGACGCGCAGGGAATGAGAAAGAAAAAGAGAAGAAGAGGAAAAAGAAACTGTAAACACCAGAAATTTTCACGTTTAGTCAATTTTTGGTGATTTATTTCCACTTTTGCGCATTTTTATTTTTACAATATGAATAACTAATTTTTATATTAGGGAAAACAATGTAGTCGACTTGTGATCCTTT